GTAATCCATTGATCTATATTTGAAATAATAAAAGGTGTAGCAAAATCTCCCTCCTGTTTGATGCCTCGACAGAAGCATTCTTTAAGTCTTTTAAAAGCTAACATTCAAGATAAACAACTTATTATTTCCTGTAAAAAAAAAATGGCACCAATTTACTTGGTGTTAAGGTGTGATTGTTAAGGGGTATAAGGCTTAGCAATTATTATTACCCCCTCCTAGTATAAACACTCTCCCAGTTTGGCCACCATTATTTTGTGAGCATTGGAAAGTCTGGGATTGAATTCAGGTTGCAGGGTGTTGGGCATTATTTATTAAAAGGAAAAGAAGTAACTGCCTGGGCTATTAGGGGACTCCATGTTGGCTTTTTGCTTGGTGCAGGCCAGCCCCAGACTCCTTCAGTCTAGGACCTCAGAGGAAGCCTTTGTAATTTGTATAAGAAAACTTCCAGCTGTCCAGAAGCTGGGAGAGAGTGTTGGTCCTGGGCTGACCTGAGCCGAGGCTGTCTTGTAGCTCCTCTGATCTGACCGGGCTGGCCTCCAATCCTGGGCTCCCTCTACTTTTCTGGTGCTGCTCAGCTCCACCTGGGGCCTTCAGCACCTGCCCCTCCTTCTCAGCACCTCTCCACCCCTCAGACAACAATAAACACTCCCACTAAAAAAAAAAAAAAAGTACCGTGCACTATTTTTATCGCTAGGGCTTTTCCTCATCTTGGCCTCAGTCTTGAAAAGGGGGCCAAGACAGGAGTCCCAAAATAGATGGGGGTCTTGATAGAGACAGGAAATGAATAGAATGCATAAAATCAGACATGTGTCCTTAATATATGGAAGGACTCGCTCCAGACGCGTGGACATGTGTATTTATAAGTGCTTAGACAGAAGTTTAAATATTCAGACACATTTTATGATTGTCCTCTGCCCGTCTTCTGGTTAATGGCTCCTCCTGTGCCCACCAATACATCAATACCGTTGTGTGTATTGAATCACCGGCAGGGACGAGAAGGAGGAAGCGAGTCCCTAGCCAAGCCCGCTGAGTACAGTACAGTAAATCGGGACCCTCAGCAGAAGGCGCTTCCCGCCCGCCCGCCATGTTGGGGAGCCCTCCCTGCCCCCCGCGCCGGGCTGAGCGGCCGGGGCTCGCTGGCAGCCGGGGGAGGGCCTTTCATAACCCGGAGAATTTTCAAAGTGCAAGGAAGATGATAAGAATAGATTTCTACAAGTCCCGACCACGTGATTGGCGAAATAATTAATTCAGCACGTCCCTTAAGAAACAAGGAGTCGTCATTAATCTGCCACGCAAAGGGCTCTCTCCGACTTGGAAAGTGCAGGGATCCCAAGAATATCACCCGCTGAGGGGGGCCCCGCGCGGCGCCCCCCAGCCCTCCACCCCCGGCCCCAGGCGGCGGGCTCGGGAGCGCGGCCGGCAGGTAAATATTTGGCGACTTTTATTTCATCAGATTTAAATCCTTAATGAACTTAGCTGTCAGGGCCGCTGACAAATAGTTCCCTTTGCTTCCTGATTTGGAACCGCGCGCCGGCGAGAAGTTGTCTGTGGCTTGGATGGTGACCCTTGGTTCAGCAAAGCTTTGCACTTATGAAAAATTACTGAGAGCGGCCGAGTGTGTGCGTGCATGTGTGTGTGTGTGTGTGTGTGTGTGTGTGTGTGTGTGTGAGAGAGAGAGAGAGAGAGAGAGAGAGAGAGGATGTGAGGGTGTGCAAAGGGCGAGGGTGCGAGGGGTGAGGGAGAGGGTGCGCGCAGGCTGCTCCCAGACAACAAGAGTTGTAAGAAACCGGCCTGGCTGGGGACACGCCTGGCGCACGCGGGCTGAGGTTGCCCGGTCGCCTGTGTCTACCGGGAACAATGGTCGCTGTCACGGCATCTGCCGCCTATTCTTAAACCGGCGAGAAAAGGCCCCGGCCCTCTTTTCAAGCGAGGGTCGTAAATTTTTCTTTGCGTCATAATAGAAGGCTATAAAATTGAGTTGAAATTTTACCCCAGGCAGGTTTTAACCAACAGATAATGATTTCCGAGTTGCTTCTCCCACTCTCCACTTTCCTCACCCAAGCTCTGCTCCTTCTCCCAGAGAGGAGTTTCTTCTTATTTTCCCTGTATTTTTTGTATTTTTACTTTTTTTTTTTTTAGATCTAAAATAAAAGCAAAAGAAAGCTTGAGTGCGAGAGCCGGGCGAGAAGGGCTCCTCCAGGAAAGGGATATGCGGGGGAGGCCGGGGAGAACTGCAAAAGGCCAGCTCTTTCGCTTGCTCCCATTTCAGCCTTCTTTTTCCACCGCACTCCAAAATTTGGAGTCCTCTGCTTCCGCCACACCCCACTCCCAGCTTGCTGAGGACCTGGGCTGGGGGCAGCAGCAAAGGTTCTCTTCCTCTAACTCTCAGCTCTGACCTGCGTGTCCCAAAGAACAGTCTCTTTATTCGGCTCCTTTCCTCCTGAGACGCCTCCATTGGCTTTGAGGATGATTTCAGCAAGCTGGGACTGGCTGTCTGCGGTGGTTGTTTTGGGACTATATGTGTTTTCATTCTTTTTTGGTGTGTGTATATTTTCCCGTCAGGAAAGAAACAAAGTTTCCTCCGTTATGAATTATACATTCAAACAATAACACATTAATTCAATTATTCAAAGATGACAAATGTTTATGTGCTTAGCAAGTGACTCCAGCGCAGATTCTGGGCGCTTTCTCTGAGCTGCTTGCATTTTTCTCAATGAGAATGGTCTCCCCTCCCACCCCCACCCACTTCAACGCACCCAGACATCCCCTTGTAGGCCCAGAAAGAAACCCAGAAAAAGCTTCCCTGGCCGGGCAGCCCGGCAGCCAACAGCCTCCCAAGGCCTGGGCTTGGCGGGCACCGGCCCGGGCTATTTTATCAGTGTGACAATTGCCCGAGTTGGTGTGATAAATCATCGTAAGTAATTCCTGAAAGGGTGTGAGGCTGTTGGGGGCCGGGCGAGGACTGTAAATCTTTCCGGTTTATTGCTCTATGAACATATGCTCCGATTGAAGAAGGCTTAGATCCTTTCCTGGAGACAAATTCCCGCAAAGCAGCCCCCCTCTTTGGCTGGGGATTAACACTTGCCGCGGGCTTCAGGCTTGGCCCCTAGCGGGAGGTTTGGGGGCGGGGTCCTCCGAGTGGGAGTGGAGTGGGACATACACGGTCGGGCTGGGAGAGACACCCCGAGTGGGTCTCCGCCCTGGCTGGGACAGGTGAACAAAAGGAGGGGCTCGCCAACAGGTCTGGAGGCTGGGACCCTTACTCATCCTCAGGGACATCCCAGAGTCTCTGGGATAGGGATGCGGAGGATGGTCTTCCCTTGTTCCTGTGCTCATCTACGGCTTTTGGGCACTTTCCCTTGTCTGAGACCTTCTAAGCAGCAACTGGGCTCCATGGCTGATGCCGCTGAGAAGCAACATTGGCAATGAAAATCCCTTTCGGGGATGGGGTGAAGAGCTTTTCTTAGTGAGGGATCTGGGATGTGGATCGGGCAGAATGGAGATCCCTGGGAGCTAGCTACAATCCAGGAGGTGGAGACTGGAGGCTGGCCGCTGGCCCAGGTGTGCTTAATTCTTCTTCCTACAATCAGAATGGGTACCGTGAATCCCACCCAACCTCTTAGAGCGTGGTGGGATTCTGTTATGATTTAATATTCATAAAATAGAAGTTTCCTTGTCCCCCAGGTAAGCCCAGCAGGGACTCATTCCGCAAACCCTCTTGCCTTCCCGGAGGCACCGCAGGAAGCGGGGAAGTCGCGGCCTGGCTGTCGCTGGGCCTGCGGGATCCGTAGGCCTTGCTCAGATCTGGAGATGTATATAGGTCACCCCGGGCTGCGGCTCAGCGCCTAGGCAACTCCAGGCCTCGAAGGACCCGGGTGGGGTGCTCAAGGTTCAGAGACGGTCCTGGCCAGCTGCTAGGGGACTTTTCTGTCTCCGAAGTGGTGGTTTGCCTGCGGAGTCCGCGGAAGCAGCCAAGGCCCCAGGGAATAGTGCTGGTAGCAAGGTTCCCCGGGGTGACCGGCCAGGGATGAGAGCCAGCGAATCCCACAGCCTGTGCTGTGCCACAACTTCAGTGCCTCACCAAGGCACTGGGAAGATCCAAGCGTCCTCCTAGGCGACGGGAGAGTCTTGCCCCGGTGCATTTGGATACCGAATACCAAATACCGGGCAAGGCGACCGGGGAGCTAAGGGAATCCTAAATTAATGCTGCTTCACAGCCCTTTCCATAGATGCCTCTAAGGAAGATAATTTTTTTTTTTTAATTTCCAACCCCCGAACTAGTCTGGCGGAACTCCAAGCCAGGGTCATTTATCGTTGAGGGGAGACTATCAAGTCCCCATCCCATTGCATGCAGCCAGGCTGTGGCCGGGTAAGCCCCAACCTGAGAAAGAGAGACTTTCCCTTCGTCCCACACCCACTCGAGTCTGCCGCTAAGAAGAAGCCCGTGTCCCACGCCTCCTGCGCCCCTCCTCCTATCCCCCCAGGCCTGGCTGCGCTCCGGGGCTGGATGGCGTGAAAGTTTCAGCCTCAATCAGTACAATCTTCCCTTGGGGTCACGTGAACAAATATGCTCACATTTGAAGGCAGCGTCTGTATTTCCCGACTATGAGGGGGTTTCCGGGGCTCTCTCCAAATCCAGAAAGGACTACGTTCCGAAAGCAAAACAAACCCTGAGCTCTGGGGGGCCTGGGAGGGCTGGGCAGGAACCTAGGAGTGGGTGGGGGTGCGAGTGGCCACCGCTTGGGCCCGAGAGCTGACCGGTGGGTGGGTGGACCGACCGGAGCGCAGCGCAGGCGAAGCCAGCTCGGGGACTGCGAACTCGTTCCTCCTGCGTTTATTGGTAGTTGAACCTCAGACTGGTTCCGTTCTACCGGGAATTCCGTGAGCTCGGGTATATGGCCGCGTCTGCGAGAGCGCAAGACGAGGGTTGGGACAGTGTTGTCTGCAGACAAAGGGGGAAGGCTAGCTCTGCCCCCCACTGGCGCCCAGTCTGAGGCCGAGGACACCAGGTTTATGATAAATTGGGATACAGGTAAGCAATTGCATGACAAAATGGAAATCTTTGGGCACGGGGCTGCTTGCTGCCCTGAGCGGGATACTAAATATGATTTATTCTGTGTAATCTGTGATCTTGATTATTGCCAATTGGTGAGGCAGCCTGCGTAGACCTAGATACACTTCTACATATACATCGAGGACTGTGATTAATCGTAAGGAGGTGAGCTTTGTGGGGACGTTCCCCGCCTACCAAAAGGTTAGGAGGACACTACCTTGCCAGGCTTGGAGGGTGGCTGGCAGTACTGGGGGTTGTGGAGGCAATTTGAGGAGGGGTTTCTGTGAGGGGGTTGGGGGCCGGAGTTAGTATTTTGAAAGTAACATGCAGTTATGAGAATGAGCTGAAAATGAAATGAATAAAAAGAAACTTTTTTTTTTTTTACACTGTCACTGCCAAAGTAAGATGGAGCATCATATTAATTCTGTGTCTTGGGCTGCCGGGCTGGGTGCAGGCGGGTTGATTTATATGTATTTAAAATAAATTCAGTGGCCAGCCAGCCAGCTCCCTGCATTGTTCTGGAATCCAGCTCCACACACTCATTCTTTGCCTCTTGCTGTTGGCTTAGTATTTTCCCCCCTTGGGAGTAAAATGCTCCCAACCTTCTCCCTGCAAATTTGAAAGAACCCCCAAACTACCCTAAAGAGTTTGGGAGGCTTCTCCACTCTCCTTCTCACCAATCTAGGGGTTTGATTGCAACAGTGGAAGAGAAAAGGTTTAGTGTTTCTGGGTCCTTCTCCCCAAGGAACCCCGAGTGAAAGCTAAATCATGTATTGATTCCTGCATCCCACCTATCCTTTTGTTTACTTGTTCCTTGAGGCTTCTTGCTGGGGGAGGACAGGACAACTCAGCCCGGGTCTTACCCTGTTAAGGCCAGACTGAGTTGCTTCATGAAATCCAGTGAGTTGCTGTGTACTCAAGAGAAGGCCACTGAGCCAAACCAGACTGAACCTTAAGGGGAAGGGACCCCCCAAAGCTAGGAGCACTCCCAAAGACTATTTTGGGACAGGCCCCATTGGGAGGACTGATTTCCAGGAGCCTCACCATCAAAGGAGAGCAGTAAAGTTGTTTTGTCAATTGCTTGAGCTTGGCTCCATCAGAACTTAAAGTCGGTGAACATTTTTCTTCGTTCACTGCCTTGGAGCTGCGCGCCTGCCAGCTTAGTCAGCTGAATCCAATTACTGCTAGCAGCATTTCATTTGGCCCCATGGAGCACTCACTTATAACTTCCCCGAAAATTTCAATAATCCCCACCAAGGCTCCACGCTGGCCCTATCCTAAAGTGTTTTCCCGGGGTGCTGCTGGGGGGTGGGGTTATGGAGCCCGGGGTTGCCTGGAGCTAGCTTTTGGTTGACAACTGGAGGACGGGGGCTCCCTCCCGTTCTCCAAGTTTCTGGTTATGAAAAAGGTATTACAACTGGTGGCCCAGAGCCAGCTGGGTTAAGCTCGGATTTAGGGCACGACAGAAGCCAAAGTTGGGTCAACGCTGGGTGGTAAGTGGGCATGGGAAGAAGCGCTGAAGAAGGCGCTGGGGGTTCGTCTGGAGGCTCAACTTTGACTAACTTAGGGTCCTCTTTCCCTTCCCCTTCCCAAACCTTCTGCGCTCGGAGCTCAGAACGTACCGGCGCATCCCCCAACACCCAGGCGCAAACTTACCCTGTTCCGCCGCAGCTGGAAAACAAAATCTAGCTAGAGGCGCAGGGGGATCACCGCCCTAGGTGGCCTCCCAACTTTGCTCTTCTGAGGGGACGCTCCTACTTCTAAAGAACCCTTTTTTCAAAAATAAATAAAAAATAATCAAGCGTCGAGAGTTGACGTCCGCCCACGTGAATGTATTATATAAAGCGGCTCCAGGACCCGCGGGCTTGAGAGCCCTGATACTTTGCACCTCTGCCTCGGCGACCTCAGGGCCCGGCCCAGCCGAACCACCTGGGGGTGGGGAGCGATCGAGTGACTTGTGCCCTTGGGCCCCGGGTCGTCTGGGAAGCTGAAGCCGGGGCGTGAAGTTAGGAGTCCTACCGGGCTGGGATCTCTCCGAGGCGCTTCCGTTGGGTGTTCATTAAGGGGTGAGTTATTGCGGTGCGAGCCAAAGGTCACTTCAAAGGCTTATGGCTGCGTGCTCTGGTCTTTAGAGCGCCCTGAACGCTTTGTGTGGGGGCTTTCCCGGGTGCAGTTTAGTGTTTGCAAACTACTGAGTCGACAAATTGCACAGGGCAGATGCAAGAGGGATATTGAGTCTCTCTCCTTTCACCTGACAGGGGGCCAACACCCGCTGAGCAGCAGCGGTGGTGGTTAGACTGTTCTTGTGTTGAGAGTGTAGGTGGAAAGGATGTTTGTATCTTTGGTGGTTTGCAGCCTAATCCCAATACTGGAGTGAGCAGCCCAGGACAAGCATGTGGTGGGTACTTACTGGAAAAATGTCTGGAAAACCATTTAAGATAAAATTAAAATGTAAAACGTGGGAAACAGTGTGCAACTCCTTCTCAATAGTGTAGCCCCTGACTAGGATGCTCCCAGATACATCTACAGAATTACTCTCCTTTCCTGCTGTCCTAAGCTGTAGCCTGGCTCTCTCCCTCCATGATTCTGCACAGTTCTCTTCTGCTCCTTAGAGGGTTGGCTTGGTCTCTGGGTTTGGAAGCAGGAGCATTTAGCTTGGTGGGGGCAGGAGGAGAGCTGACTGCTTCCCCCACCACTCCATGGCACACCTCTGACCCACTAGGGTCACCCCCTGACAGAGAGTCTGGCACTTTCCTCAGGTCCAAGCTGTCCCCCATTCAGCCAAGGACTTTGGTGTTTAAGGCCTCTAGCTCCCCAGGAGCCCACTGAGTCTTCTTTCTGCTGGGGAAAAGGCTTCAGGAATGGCTGCAGGCACCACATACAATAGTCACATTGATTATGGCACTCTTAAAGGGGGTAAAGCTTCTCCGCGTGTGTTTCTAAGAAAGAAACGGCTGCTATTGAGTTTTCCATTTTGTTCCAGATCTGCCTCCACAGAATATCAAAAGAAACTGAAGAGCCTACAAAAAGAGTTAGAAACAAAATTCAAGAAAACACACATACAAATTTGTGGTGAGTGGGGATGATTTTAAAAAATAATTTCCACTACATTTTTCATTTGTCCTACAACTCAAGTAGCCATCTCAGGATTCATACATCAAGACATAAAACAAAGGGCAGCTTTGAAGTGGATCACCTCAGTGTGAACTGTCGCCTGTTACATGATAACTGATCATCTGCCTTCAAATTTATGGCACTTTAATGGGGTGAGCACACTGCCTTAAATGCAGGGTATAGTACAGTATTAAGTTATCTGGGCTATATAAGAGTGATTTAGAATGTGCATCCCATAGTACAGAAGAGGCTTGGGCTGCAAGAGAGGGAGAACTTGGACAAAACATAAACAAACCTCCTTCTGAGCAAACCTGGAAAGGAGTGGTTTCGAAAAACCTGAAGTGGCCAGGCCATCGGGGAGAGGAGAATCGTTGCTCGGTTCCAGTGAATTTAACAGGGATGTCCATCAAGAATACTGGCTGTCAGAAAGAGATCCGCGGGCTTCTGAGGCCCTGGGATAGGCAGAGCAGGGAGAGAAGCCGGAGGCCAACTCGAACCTTAAAGAATTTTGAGAGAAACTGACTCAACCAGCACACCATCACCTCCTCCTCTTTCGGCTTGCACAGATTGAGTGTACCCGTCCGAATTTACTAGGTTGCAACAGGAGACAAAACCGGCGACTGTATGTCATCCCCTCCCTTCTCAAACCTCCTCCCCCGGCCTTCCCACGGCCACCGCGGGCGAGCGATCGCCAGCAGGCCTCTGCGTGTCGGTGGTGCCTCCCGGTGTCCGAGACCATGGCGGGCAGCAGGTCTTTGGTCCTCTGCGAAGCTGCGCATCCCATCCCGACTCCGGCCGGCCGAGGAGCAGAGCTGCTCGCAGAGGCCGGCGCCGGCTACTTTATATAATCCCGCTGCTCGTAGGATGCATGAGCGGGAAAAGTGCGGAGTAGGGAATTCTTTTGCTGCGCTGCCTCCTACGCGGAGCCTGCTTTCCACTTCTGAAAAGTGCCCGGCCTTGGGAAGTGTTTTTCTTTTCATTCCTTACTGAAGCGTTTACTGCCGCCGTGGTCGCAGTCATAAATTTTGTTACAAACCACAATGACAGGTGCATTGATATGCACCGTGAGAGCTCCAGCTGCTTAATAACCCCGTCCCCTGGCCGCTGTGAGCGCCTTTTATTTATTCGGTATCATATTAGGTATTGATCCTGGGCAGAATTAAGTGCAGTGAGCAAGTATCGGGGCTCTGCTGCTTAGGAGTAGCGGCGGAAACTGCAGGACGGCGCGGCCAGGGAGCGGGTGATGGTGGCTTTGAAGACGCCATTCTTCTGGCTGGAGACGGTTTGGCCCTGGGTTCCGGGCCTGCGGTTAGGTCTCCAAACTGAATTGAGCAATTTCCAGGGACCTGGAGAAAGGACTAGCCAGACCCATTTGGCATTCTTCCCCAACAGGGACAGGGGGTTGAGCGGGAAGGGATTGGGGCGATTGCTACGTCCCATTCCTTGGGCTGGGGGAGGGGTGGAGAGAGAAGGAGGAGGAAGAGGGAGAGGAAAGGACAACTGAGGACTTTGGGAAAAATACCAATCCCGGTTCATCCACCCCTCCCCCCAGGGGCTTGTCTTTACCCCAAGGCATTTGGGTCTTGGATCCCAAGTGAGCAAAGGTACCAAAGGGCGAGAAAAGAAAGCCTTTAAAAAAGGGCTGGGGGTGGGTGATGGAAAAGATGAGCCACTGAACAGTTGACCATTGTCCAAGTGATTTATGACCCGTTCCTGCTTTTTAGGTTCAAGCAGAGTTCACAAGGAATAGTGATTTCTGGAAAGAAATAAGCCCTTCAACCAGTTTCATAACAATAATCTCAGGTTTTGCTTTAGGAGAGGGGAGTTCTTTGGGACACTGCATAGTCTTTTCCCAGTGAGAACAGCACAACTTGTGCCCTTATGGGGAAATGGACATGGACCATGGACGTAAGGTAGTGGATCATGCAAACAGGCAGAAGAACAGACTATGGTTACTCAGGAAGCTACCCAGGGCTTGTACTTTTGAGGTCTGTACACAGAGTTTTCTCCAGGCATATGTTACAGGAAGAAATATGAACACAGTTATCTATCCATAGACCTGCTCAGTTCATAAATAAGCTATTTTGATGTGACTGATCCACGTATTAAGGCAAACTTGGTCAAGTTGGGAGGCAGGAGGGGGATGTTTTGGTTCCAAAGTTGTCAGTGGAATGACAGAAGCAGTAACAAGTTCTGGTGGTGTCTGATGTGACCATTTAGACTTCCAGAGAGTTAAGACTTTAAGCAACATCCTAGGAAAGTCCTGAAATGTAACCAGTCTAGTCTTTTGGCCCTGGGGGAAAACACATGAAAATATTAGTCACAGAATGAGGAGTTAGCATCCATTTGATATTCAGTAACTTTAACAGTCAGAGACTAAGAAAATTCATCAAAAGAATTAAATCTAGCTTTGTTAAATAGATAGCCTAACTGTGTACATTTACAAACACTAATGGAAACAATTCCTACAACAGTTATGTCTTAGTGTTTTAGAATCCCATTGAGAAAAAACTTGTCTCACATCAAGATAAATGGCACATTCATTTAGATTCTAAAACAAAACGGGGGACAATACTACTAAACAACAGCTAATTTGAAGAACTTTTCAAATTGGTTAGGCTTTTTGGTGAAAGTGGATGGAAAATGAGTGCATGGAGAAGTGATGTTGGTATATGGTCAAATCACTTCAGCCACATAAGCTGTCTACAGAATGTGGTCTATCATGATGAAGCTAGGGGGAGTTTCTGGAAAGTTGTCTGAAGGATGAGATCAAGAATTAAGACCAGGGAGCTGACCTGTGAGTTTTCTTTATCAAACAGACAAAAGTATTTGAATGGTATTAGTTATACTTTAACTCCTCAGGGGTCTTTCAAGAAGAAGGGAGGGGGGATCTAGGAGAGAAATCTCCCATCAAAAGTCAGGGGATACAAAAGGGGTAGACTTTTTCTTGTTTTGTGTTTTCCCTTCTTCTTCTTCTTCTTCTTCTTCTTCTTCTTCTTCTTCTTCTTCTTCTTCTTCTTCTTCTTCTTTTTCTTTTTCTTCTTCTTCTAATTCTGGGTCCATTCAATTATGCCATGACAGGTTCTCTTATTGGTTGTGGACTGAGTGAAAAGTAGGTGGAATAGATAATCCAGAGCAGAGGTCAATTATATCTATTTATAGAATAGATCCAGGGTAAATATGATAAAGTTATAATATAAATTATTCTCCATTTACCCATGCTACATCCATTTAAAATTCGAAAACCCTTTAACCATTTCCATGGTGTCCCTTTAAAAGTAGTAGGAACATACTGTATCAGGTCTAGAAAAATGTAGATAAAAGGAATGTTTTTTAACCTCAAAATAAGTCTGGGAATCTTTAAGTGCTCTTCTTGGTTTTTATCTTCTAGCTTTCTGCATTGTAGATCTCACAGAGCTGACCCACAGAATTAATTGAGCGAATTCTCACCCTGTCATTAAAAAGTGAATTTTCTGTGTCTTCATGAAAGATGTGGTGATTTTGAATCTAGGTGGGTAACATACTTTGGGGGGAGGGTTTTGACAGTTCTGAGTGTGTTGTAGGGCTTCTTTTGTGCATTAAAACACTAGGATTATGGGTTAGGGGTGTAGTGTAGTTTGGTGGTTGGGCCCTGTTTAGCATGCAGAAGGCCCTGGGTTTAATCCCTAGCAGGAAACATACAAAGAGAGAGATTACCCAATGACTGATTGATTCACCCATTCATTCACTGATTCATTCAACAAGCATCTATTGCAGTTAGCATATGCAAGGCATTGAGATGATGTTATAACTACATAGATAAATGAGACACAGTCCCTGCCTGCAAGAAGCTCACAATTTAGGGGTTTAAATGAGATAGTAAAATGTATGAGGCCATAGGTTTATTTTCATGAAGGCTCAAAGGCTGAATTGAGCCACAACTCCAGCCCCTGAATTGACAGTGTTGAAGAAAGAAAATTATATCTGGGGGTGGGAGGAAGCCCCTTCCCTAGAGTTGAACTAAAGGGAAGAAAAGATCTTTTCTTACATTTAGGTGAAATTCCTTTAGACTTTTCTAGGGCTCAAATAAGTAAATCCCAGATTTAGAACCTTGCCCATTCCTCCAACACAAAGTGGTAGGAGGCAGAGAACCTGGGCTAGTCCTTCTATATTGACTGGTCTTGCCAATGACAGTTCCTCTGGGGCCTCTCACTTTTCTTCTTGTCAGGTCACCTGGAGTCCGGGGCCTGGCCCAGCTCTCTCAGGATTCAGCAGACACTGGAAGTGGTGGCCAAGGACACAGTGGTAGTCAATGTTATTTGAGCAGGGTCAGCAGGCCCTGGAGCTTCTGGAGTGCACCATGCAGAAGGCTGCATACTATGAAAACCCAGGACTCTTCAGCAGCTATGGCTACAGCAAAGGCACTGATACTTATGGCTACAGCAACCCTCATCAGCCCTATCCACCCCCTACTGCTGCCAACTCCCTGGACACTGATTATCCAGGTTCTGCCTGCTCCATCCAGAACTCTGCACCTCTTCGAGTCCCAGGCCACAAGGGGGCTGAACTCAATGGCAGCTGCATGCGACCTGGCACTGGGAACAGCCAGAGTGGGGGTGGTGGCAGTCAGCCTCCTGGTCTGAACTCAGAGCAGCAGCCCCCACAACCCCCACCTCCACCACCCACCCTGCCCCCTTCCTCACCCACCAATCCTGGAGGAGGAGTTCCTGCTAAGAAGGCCAAGGGTGGGCCCAATGCTTCTAGTTCCTCAGCCACCCTCAGCAAGCAGATCTTCCCCTGGATGAAAGAGTCTCGACAGAACTCCAAGCAGAAGAACAGCTGTGCCACTGCAGGTAGCTCTCTGAGGGGACCACCCCTAGACCAGGTCCCCTATAGAATGGCCCCAGGAAGCCCCAGTCACTTAGGAACCAGAAGACTCAGGACTTTTAAGTGCAACCTTGGAGGTCAAGGTCCAAAATCCTACTCCTTTTAATGTTTATGATTGGGGTCATACCCTTGCAGTGACAAGGTGCTCACTTCCACTCTGGGCTGCTAGTGCCATTGCTGGACAGGTCTCATATTTATTAATAAGAGCTTTTGCTTATACTGACAAATTATCTGCTCTCCTGAGCTTCTGGTTATAACTCAGCTCCCACCCACTTCCATCCAACATCTCTTTAAATTTTGAAGACAGAGCCTGGTGCTGTGGCACCTGCCTGAGGTTCCAGCTACTGGGGAGGCTGAGGCAGGAGAATCACTTAAGCCCAGGAGTTTGAGGCCAGCCTGGGCAACAGTGAGACCCTGCCTCAATTTTAAAAGAAAGGAAGGGCTGAGCATGGTGGCACTGTAATCCCATTTGAGAGAATGAGGCAGGAGGATTGAGAGTTCAAAGCCAGCCTCAGCAACTTAGCAAGATCTGCCTCAAAATTAAAAGGGATGGTAATATGGATCAGGGGTTATGTACTCCTGTGTCCAATCCCTGGTACAAAAAAAAAAAAGAAAAGAAAAAGAAAGAAAGAAAGAAAGGAAGGAAGGAAGGAAGGAAGGAAGGAAGAAAGAAAGAAAAGAAAATTAAAAATTGTAGACAGGTAATATGATTCCTAAGTCCAGGTGTTTATGTAGCCCATATCCTATGAATCCTACTCCTTTAAATTAACATGAGTTAATGTCTAAAGAGTGTTAAGAACCACACCAAGTACTTTGCAAGCATTCTCTAATGTTTTCAAAGAATACTTTGAGGATAGGTATGTGGTAACATTCTCTTTTTATAGATAAAGAAATCATTAGACAAAAATGCAACTTGCCCAAGTCCACAAAACTGTAAAGTGGTGGATTTGAATCCACTTGATTTCTAGGCCTATAAGGCAAAGCCAGGAGACTCTACTTGGTTTATCCCAGCCCAATTCTCCTATTCCAGCAAATCCATAATGAGGAAGCTCATGTCCTAGGGGGAGAGGATATTCTGGGAAACAGGAGCAGCCTTGGATTTCACTCCTTAAAAGGGAAGACCCTGGAACTGAGAAGGTTTTCTCTAGGTCCATCCAGGGCATGTAGAAGATGGGCATGGCCAGGAGCTCTGACACCTGCTCCTTTTCTCTCAGACTGGTTGGTTCCTGAAATGTTCTGGCCTTGTGTTCTCTAACAGGGTTTATTTTTAGATAGATGAACATGCTTCCAGGTCCAGGGCTAGTTTGAACCCTGGGATGTGGCTTGTTATCAGGTCTCTGGTTGGTCTGCTGCTCCCTAGGGCTGCTACTGCTAGGGGGAAGGTGTCTTCCTGCCTGTAAGCTCCTTCTTCTGCTCCTCCCTCCTCAGCTCAGGCTCAGGCTCAGGCCCTCCCTCCCAGGAGAAATCCATTTGTCTTCCCAGTGAGGGAGTAGACAAGCAGCTGAGAGGTGGCAGGGGTGGTGGAAGCCAGTGTCCAGGCACTGCACCTAGCACTGCCATGCTCAAAATGCTTCCTGCTTGGTCTTGGGACCTCTAAAACTCCGGGGCAGTATGTTAGTACTTTTGGGGGTGGGATTATCACCTCCTTATCTCTGGGTGCAGCTGGGATACAATGAGGTATTAAGATCCCTGCTCCCATTATTTACTCCCGCAGGGTGCTTTGCCCAGGAGCCAGCCTCTAAGCAAGGCAGGCTGGAGATCCCCCCACCCCCAGGAGCAGCAGAGGGTGGGAGGAGTGTTCAAAGAAGTCTGGCCTTTCTTCAACACGGGGGAGGCCTTACCAGCTGCTCCTAATCTCTCATTAAAGTCCTTCATGGCCTTTGGGTGGAGATGAGATGATGGGTTTAGGATGGAGTGGGAAGGGAGGGCCCAGTGAATAGGACCTCAGAAGGCGGATGGAGATTTCAGGTGCGACTGATAGGTAGGCCTGGATGCGGAAAAGCGAGCTCCCCATCGGAATCTCACAGCCCTTTATTCGCCCCAGGATTGGAAATGAAGGAAGTAGTGGAGGAAAATGAAGCCAGGGAAGCACCCCTCTCCATTCCAAAGGGTCCTTATCCCCTCGCTCAGCGCCCACTCTCTTTCCCTCCCTTGTCTAGGAGAGAGCTGCGAGGACAAGAGCCCGCCTGGCCCAGCGTCCAAGCGGGTGCGCACAGCATATACTAGTGCTCAGCTGGTGGAGTTGGAAAAGGAATTCCACTTCAACCGCTACTTGTGTCGGCCGCGTCGCGTGGAGATGGCCAACCTGCTGAATCTCACCGAACGCCAGATCAAGATCTGGTTCCAGAACAGGCGCATGAAGTACAAGAAGGACCAGAAGGCCAAGGGCATCCTGCACTCGCCAGCCGGCCAGTCCCCAGAGCGCAGCCCGCCGCTCGGCGGCGCCGCGGGCCATGTGGCATACTCTGGCCAGCTGCCGCCGGTGCCTGGCCTGGCCTACGACGCGCCCTCCCCGCCCGCTTTCGCCAAATCGCAGCCCAACATGTATGGCCTGGCCGCCTACACGGCGCCGCTCAGCAGCTGCCTGCCACAGCAGAAGCGCTACGCGGCGCCCGAGTTCGAGCCCCACCCCATGGCGAGCAACGGCGGCGGCTTTGCCAGCGCCAACCTGCAGGGCAGCCCAGTGTATGTGGGAGGCAACTTCGTCGACTCCATGGCGCCCGCATCCGGGCCGGTCTTCAATCTGGGTCACCTCTCGCACCCATCTTCGGCCAGCGTGGACTACAGTTGTGCCGCGCAAATTCCTGGCAACCACCACCATGGACCATGCGACCCTCATCCCACCTACACAGATCTCTCCGCCCACCACTCGTCTCAGGGACGCCTGCCCGAGGCCCCCAAACTGACACATCTGTAGCGGTCGCCGTGGGCCCGAATTCGCGGCGCAATTACCTCTTTTGCTTTGGTGGTGGTGGGGAGGGGTGGCGAGTGGGGCCCGGGGGGCTTCGGAGATCCCCCTTTCCCGCTCTGGCCCAACCATCAGCGGCCAGAGGCATAGGTGACCGGGCCTCCCCTCCGTGCGCGTCCTCCTTTGGGTGACTCGCCATAAATCAGCCGCAAGAATACTCCCCCCATAAGCCTGACAGTGCCATATACTGCGGACCGAGGGACTCTAATCTGGTAATAGTGCCCCGAAGGTAAGTCTGAGACCCATCGGCGGCGCGCCCTGCAGAGGCACTAGAGCCTGGAGAGTCCTGGGCCTGGCCCGCGTCTAGCTTAGTTTCTGAGACCTTAATTTATATGCTCCTTCCCATCCTGTAAGGATTGCATCGGACTAAACGATCTGTATTTATTATTTGAAGCGAGTCATTTCGTTTCCCTGATTATTTATCCTCGTCTTAATGTATTTATATGTATATTTGTAGAATTCTCCAGCCGAGCTTAGGAACGCGCTCCCAGGCCGTGGGGGCCACATTTCACCTCTTTAGTCCCTTGGTCTGAACTAGTTGAGAGAGTAGTTTTGAACAGTTGTAACCGTGGCTGGTGTTTGTAGTTGATGTAAAGGATTAAGACCACAAATTGTCCTTCATGGGTAGAGTCAGGCAGCCCAGTGGCATGGCATGACACCCGTTAGTCATTTCTCAACAGCCATTTCTCAACAGCCACAGCCCTCACCACTCGACACAGTTTAATGATTTCAAATTGTCTGGTACTATTTGAACAAATATTTAGAATAAAAAATTTTCTCAGTTGGAAGTGTATCTGTGTTAATCACACACACTTGCAAGCAGATCACTTTGCCTATATCTTTCACACAATCCCAGTGGAAGGCTTTATGAAAGACTGACCCTTTGAAAAACATCATTCTATTAATTTGGAATCTGCTGCACTAGTTGGTCTGGGAGGTACTCCATTATTTCATTCCAGCTATTGATATGGTGGGGGGATCTGAGGATGCAAACCTAGAAATGTTCTGGGTGGGATGACTGGGATAGGGTTTTGCTAAAGCAGAGCCTGCTTTGCTGTTTCTACCACCTTCTTTCTAGATACAATCTAATGTTACATTAGAGAGGCCAGAGCTCATTTTTCTGCATTAAGTAATAAAAAATAAACTTTGAAAGAAAACTGACAATCAAAGACAAGATACAAGAGAAGTTGTAAGAAGAATTGTACTTTGAAAAAGCTAAGGTGCATGGGGGAAAAAATCCGATCATTTGGAGACAGGCACCCAAGCTTTTTCTCTAGGAAGCGTTGTCATAAATTTTTCCTTTGTGGTAGTTTGTAGTTCATTTCTAAAGAAAAACAAATGTTCTCCACGATGTAAAGTAATAAAAGTTTCATTAATGGAACATAACACGTATAAACACCTTGTTTACTCCTGTTTCTTTGTACAAAAGGGGCAAAATGTCTTCAAAGATTTATAACCGTTTTTGTAAATATTAGCGTGGCTCAAGCTAGGGACAGACAATTTGCACCCAATTCCATGGGAGGGGGGCACTTGGAAAATGCATTCAGATAAGGTTTAATTCTTTTGTATTTCAGCAAAGTTGACCCACGCATCTCTGTTTGATTTGACAAATAATGCAACTCCTACTACATCCCCGGTGACAGGAGGTGAAATTCCTATCGTTTGGAAATAATTTAACTTCTTCTGGTGGAACAACAATCGTTTCTATTTGGATGTTTGTGTTTCGCTAAGTAATGATGGTTCAAAATAATATTTAGGTTTTTTTGTTCCTTTGTGCTGTTTTTAAAATGGCATGTTAGGTTGTGGTGGGAGGGGATATCTTTTTGCTAAATTTCACTTTATCTGAGCGGGGTTTAAAGTATATATGTTGTAGAAGTGTATCAACAGAATAAATGACTTCAAACGAAGGCATATTTTACCCATTTTCAAGATTTAACATTGTTTTATATGAAATTTGCATCCATAGGCAAAATTTCTAATTGTCTTGTAAGAAATTATTTTTTAAGCTATTAGGGAAATCAAAGAAAAGCTCGCTGCCTTGCAGGGATTACAACCACCTTTCTTAACTGGCTAAATATTAAATAGATGAATTGTCAGGCTGTTTAGATTCAGCCCGGTTTTCCCTCATCTCCTCTTCCTACCATAAATAATAATAAAAATACATAATGCATCACGGCTCCAGGCGTTTTCCAGCGCGGTGTGTTACCGCAGGAGTATCTGCTGAGTCTGCGGGTGTCTGGAAAGCCCCAAGCGTCATCTGTGGCTTAGGGTTTCATGGATTAGACTTTAAAAGGTGTCTAGCTGGGCTGACAACAGCTTCCTCTCATACTCAAGCTCCAAGGAAGTGCGGGGTACATACGGGCTCCCTCTCCAGGCAGCCACAGCCTCCCGAGGCCCTCATTTTGAGTATGTGGGGTGGGGGTGCAAGGGTTCCCTTTCACTAAATCTGCGGCCATCTCCAGGCTCTGGAGATTCCTGAGACTCCATCCTTTCCTGTCCCTGGTGTGAGTCATGTGATGGGGAACACTCGGTCGCTCCGAGAGGCTGGGGGAGGCGTTGAGTCCTGGGAGGGCGCGCTCCCATGCGGCCGCCCGCCCGGGTTAGAGCTGGGCCCGCGGCACAACCATTTAAAACTTCATAAATTATAAACAAGCCGCCTTGGCCTTCGCCATAAATTCCGCTCCTCTTGAACCTGCAATTAGTGTTAGGAAAGACCCAAATCTAAACAAAACCGTACGCTCTCTGAAGGGTCCAATTGCCCGAGTTGCAAACCTTCATTCATTTCTCAGTGCCACCCTTTCTGCATCCCAGGTTTGCACACAGTAGCCTCCTCCCCCGCCACCGCTGGCGGTGCACACTCGGCTGGGTTCCCGCTCTGAGAGGGAAGGTCACAATAGCTGCTCTATCCGCGGAGGCGCCTGCCTCCTCCCACCCGGGTCTCAGAAGCAAAGAAAGAATAGTGGGGGAGGGGAGCTCGGCCGGCGATGGCGCCCTGGGCCCTGGCCTCTCCTCTTGCCGAGGACCCGCAACGGGACCTGCAGGAGGAAGTTGGCAGGGAAGGAAATCTCCACCCCAGTTCCTGTCTCTCCAGAGACGAGTGGACTAGGAGCAAATGGGAGCGCACCAAGGATCGAGGTTGTTGGAGGCGTCACCGACCAGCACTGTGTAGAGGGTGCCCTGAGCAGCTCCGTCCGAGGGGAGCAGGCACGCCATTATGTGCGCAGCTTCCCTACAGGTTCTGCTGCGAAGGAGGCCACACATAAGCAGCGCTGGCCGACGCCTGGAGGCGGGGAAGGGTTGGGTTTGCTCGGGGCATTGGCCTCTGGGGGGTATACCTCGTTTGCCCAAGGGGAGGATATGTGTGTTTCGCTAAGTCTTGGCCAGCTCTGCTTTTGACTCCAGAGAACGTATTGAGAAAGGTGGGGTCAGGGAGGTTGTGGGATTTCTTGAGATCGCAAGAGATCAGGGCTACAAGCCTAGGCCTACGGGTGTAGATGAAGGGTGGCAGTCGTTAGAGCTTCCTGGTTGTTCTGTCCAGGCAATCAAGTGTAAATTAAGGCCGGGTAGCAGTGAAGCAGATGGAAAGGCTTGTTACCAATGGGAGTAGAGGAAGAGACTTAGGTGGAGGGAGAGCTTTCCTTGCAACAACGGGGGAAAAAAATCAGTACTCAGTTTGGAGTGGTGTGTCCAGACCTTACTGATCTATTCAGGAGTTTGGGGAAGTTGCAGAGGAACTTGGCCAGGATTACTCTCCAGGCCATTGGTAAGGAGGTAAGAAAGAGTGATTAGGAACATACTCTGTTTTTTGGCTTTCAGACCTCAGCCTCATCCAGGGAACTGACAGAGAAAAATCCACCTCTGATGGAACCATTAAGCTAACCATCCATTTATACCATTTCTTTGTACAAGATTTCAAATGAGAGAAAGAGAAAGAGAATACATAACAAGTATGTTCCCCTTGGTGCAGCCTGAAGCCCAGTCCCTATCAGAGACACTTCAGCCAAATTGGTTTCCAAGGCTCCAGAGGCTGCTAACCTTGTTGAACAAGATTTTTCGAATTTCTATCTGTAAGAAGTATTAAGAGATAGTGATTACCTATACTAGCTACTTCTCCCTTCTCCTCCCCCAGTCTGGACCAGCTGACTTGCCCTTGAGTGAAGTGCATCATCTCAGCCTGCAGGTTTGGGAGCTTAGGCTTTCCATCTGTTGAGACTTTTCATTAGTGATGGAGAGGATATGTGTGGGTGTGTGTTTGAATAACAAAGAAGTAAGCTTTCTTTCTAGTAACAAGTGCTCCTCTGCCTGACCTGGGGGACAGTCACAGGCATGTTTTGGCTTTATCCTGAGAGTTAGCTGAAACTTCTTGCTGAATTCAAGAAGTGGCTAATCCCAGTTACAGATCTAGGAAGGTCCTCTTCATGTGGGAGTTCTTGGCATTTGATCCTTCTTTCAGGAACTGAAAGAAAAAAAAATGGGGAGAAGAGAAGTTTATGAGTAGGCAAGATGAAAGGTAGAAAGCCCCAGTCCCCAGAGACTTATAGTCCAATTACTCCTGGGCACAGCAACTTCTCAGAGGATATATTTAGGGCCTTGGTAAGCATACCTATTCCTAGACCCATGAGACACTTAGGAAACTGAGGTTGGGTTGTCTGCAGCCCAGTCCTTCCCATCTTTGAGTGTTGGCTCTCACAGATTTCAACCGGAGAAAGCCCAGATGGAGAGAGAAAGACTAGGCAGATGAATCCCCTGCATTTACTGCTTTCCTGGTGCTGTGGAGGATGGTGAACAGAAAGGTCAACCCCGAGGATGGAACCTTATTTCTATTGTAACCTTGTTTTCTACTCTAGCTACAAAGGTCCATATTTCGTGGGGTTCAAGGTTGGTGTCAAATGAACTTGTATTAATGGCATGAAGCCTATTTTTAAGGAGTTCTCTCAGGTCTCACACCCACCTTGGCAAGTTGTAAAGTTCAAAGATCCATTTTTAGGACAGATCCAGTGTGAAGAAAACCAAAAGGTTTCCACACATGAAGAGCCAAATGTTCAGTACCTTGCAGTAGCAGAGGTGGGTGAGGGGTTCCCAGGACATCTGTGAGGTAGGAACATGTGTCCTCTTGGTCTAGATTTTGTGACAAAATATATTTTTGTTCATTTATTGGTTGTGGGGATTAAACCCAGGTTGCATTTTGACACTGAGTTACACTCAAAGCCCATAACATAATATACTTGACAAGTTTCTATAGCTATCTGGCTCATTTTTATGTAAGAAAAAGATATGGGAAAAGCACAAAAGAAGTGCGGTTTTAATATTAGTGAGGGCCAGGGGAGGAGGAGATCTTAGTTTAAATCAGGATTCATGGAAAGCTCTGGTAGATGGAATGTTTTTGCCCGAGAATCGGGGCTTAAATCCAGGCCAGGAGGGCCTACTGGGCTAGGTGGGGAGACGAGCGTCCCTGGCTTGTGAGGAGATGGGAGAAGGCCTTCTAATGGCTCCATTGTTCACAGCGCCGCCCTACAAATCCCATAGCCCTCCCTATCTCCTTCACCAGGGCCACGCGGGGACGGGGTCGGACAAGCGGTGCTCTAGGGAGCTGGCACCAACGTCCCTGCTCCCTTGGGGGCAGTGACGACGCCGTGCCAGTGGCCGCAGAGAACACACAAAGGAAGCCCCGACCCATCCTCTGGACCTGGAGGCATCACAAGGAGGGGACTGGTGCGGACCCCAGTCAGAGCATTCCTCGGTCCCCCGCGGGGAACAATAGGCGCAGCGGGCCGGGGTGGCTGGGCGGTTTGGCCCGCGCGCCGCACAAAGCCCGCTTGGACCGCGCAGCACGTGACGTGCGCGCGCGCGCGCGTGCGCGCGGGCTGGGGGTAGAGGTCCTGAATCCACCTGGAACACTTTCAGAAAGACAAACGGTGAGTTAATCACCCTACCCGCTGGCGACCGCGTCCCCTATCGCCCGTGATGAGGCCCAGGAAGGGGCTGGGTGGATTTCAGTGTGTGAGTGTGTGTGTGTGTGTGTGTGTGTGTGTGTGTGTCTCTCTCTCCAGGGTGGGGGGCGGGAGAGGTTAGTCCTATTAAGAGTTCATCAATCACCCGGTGTGCACTTTTCGCTCGACAGCGGTTCCTCCTATTTCTGAGCAAGTCTGGGCCAGCTGGGAGCCGACCAGAAACCGCAAGCTGGGGAGACGCAGGCGCGCGGGCTGAGCGCTAACGGAGGGCGCGACCCATCGCGCGCCCGCCCACCGGGGAGCGGTGCAGACGGGGCAGCGGGATCTGCACTCCGGGGACCCGAGCTACCGCCCGCCAGCCCCGCCCTCGAGCTACTCCGGGCGCCTGGCGACTTATTCGCACCCCCCCACACACCCTGCATTCCCCCAGCTCCTCTCCACCCACTGCTTGCCCCAGCGACAGAAGCCCTTACAAGCTGCTTTCTCCCAAGAAAAGGACGAAATCATCTCTGAAGGCAATACAAGAAAAATCCCAAAGGGTCAGAAGGTTTTTTGCAGACTCTTGTTTAAAAGTTTCTGTTTGCTTGTAGGAGTACTTGGGTGGGAGGAAGTAGGGTAACAAGACCAATGTTGAACTTGGGATAAACTTGAATGCCTTTTAAAATAACAATAAAAACACAACACCAGGTACAATGAAAGGTCTCCTTTTTCTACACTAAGGGAAAGACTCTTGAGTATTTTTAGTTCAGTTCTCTTAGGTTCATTTTAGAAGCACCGTATACGAATTGACTGGACATTTCAAGGGGCAATCATTAACTTTACAGCTGTTTGCAAGAAAGAGGGTCTAGGGGGAGTAGGTGGTGAAGTATTCTTATACCCCTTATAGAGTGCCACATGTCATCTTTGTAAAAGATACAAAAGTTCTGGCCAAGTCACTCTTTTTGCTGGGTGACAACAGCTTTTTTTTTTTTTTTTTTTTTTTTTTTGGTACTGGGGATTGAACCCAGGGGGCTTTACAGTGGAGCTACTTCCCTAACGCGCACACACACCCTTTTTTTAAATTTTGAGACAGGGTCTTGCTGAGTTGCTTAGGGCCTCATTAAGTCACCAAGGCTGTCCTAAACTTTCCATCCTGCTCCCTCAGCCTCTTGAGTAACTGGGAGTATAGTCATGCACCACCATTCCTGTCACATCTGACTATCTGAAGCATTAAGCTTTACACAGTATCCGGATATCACTGAGCAATGAAAACACTGGTCTTGCAGTTCTTGGTTCAGTCTGTCTCTTTCCCCCTGCCTTTCAGCAAAACCACTGAACAGGTCTTGTGTGCCCTGTGCTGGGCTCTGCAATACAATGTTGAGTCATTAATGGTTTGCACCCCTCAGTCTAGTAACAGAGAAATAATCCTACAATAATGTCATAGGGCTCGGGGTGTAGCATAGTGGTAGAGCATTTACCTAGCATGCACAAGGTCCTAAGTTAGATCCCCATTACCACAGAACCTCAAAAAAACCTACCCAAACAAAACAAACCAATGTAATAGGTGCTTTAACAAATGTGCTCAAACTGTTCCTGAAATAAAGAAACCACTAACAGTACTATAGTGTCAAAAAGACTACTCAGAAGAGGTGAATTGAGGTTCCCCTTAAAGACTGAGTTTTTCAGGCCTAGGAGGGAAGAGCATGCTAGGCAGAGAAAGCAACTCATGCAAAAATGAAGAGGGAAAAAAAGAACAGGATCTGGACTTAGAACAAGGAGAGTAGTTCTGATTGAAAAGAGGTTCATTAGAGAGTCTGGATCTACTCTAGATAACCAGGGAAGGTTTTAAGCTGGGACATGTTATCTATTTTGAAAGCTAACTCTTTGGGGGTATTGTATTTGATTGGAAAAAGGACAGAAGGCAAGAAGAACAAATAAGGATGCTGTTGATATATTCCAGTATAGAGGAATTAATGTAATAAAACTGAAGGGAGATAGAACTCACAGGGCTTGGTGATCAGTTGGAGGAGTAAAAGAGGAGCTGTAGATGTTAATTCCTAGTTTTCTGTTTTGAGGGTCTGATTTGGAAGTCAGGATATTCACCAGAATGAACAGAGGGGGAAGAGACTGCAAGGGAATCTAAGGAGTTCAGTTTCAGGTCTACATTGTATTTTCGGCCTTGCTACGGATACATAGTGTGACCCTAAGCAATCCACTTAATCTTTCTGGACTTCAGATTCATCAGTGAAGCAGTCAATAAAGATATCTAACCTCATAGGTTTATTATTAGAAGTGTATGTGTGGTGGGGGGTATCATCTTTACCAGGTCCAAGTGAGTATCCTATATAAAGCTAAAACCTAGGGGAAACATCCTACTTCATGCTGATCAATACTTAGATCCTGGGTGGCCAGATATAAATAAGTCTCAGGGAAATTAAAAACTACACCACCACCCTACTGCTTCCCAGATATTGAATCTAAGATAATGGTTAGGGCTAGATCACATTGGACTGCTAATCAGAGTCCCTCTGCTTCCACAAGGGTATTCTTAGGAGGATTCCAACAGAAATTTATTCTTGGTATCAGACCACTAAGAGGAGACCTCTTAGCCAACGTCAAAAAGCTTTTGTGCTTTTTATGTCATATGTCTAGAGGTGATACTAGAAGTCACCCCCTCTCTTTGAACCTCCTTAATCCCTATATGGAACAGAATAGTATAGGAAATAATTTTGGACATCTGGCCTTGACTATTTACATTGGATGTGACATGCTGTTTACCTTTTCTGTGTCAATATACTACCATTGGTAAAACAGAACTAAAAAGATAAGGAAGAATGACATTCTGGGAGATGCTCTAAGAGTGCCTAAAAGTTACTCTTTTCCAGTTATCAGGTTATAAAAAATAAACCATAATATTCCACTGTTAGGTAAGGGTGTGAGGAAACCAACTCTCACAAGTTACTGTTAGAAATATAAACTGATTCATTTTAAAGGAGAACAGTTTGGCAAAATGAGTTGCTAGTGTACATACCCTTTGACTTAGTAATTTTACTTATAGGAATTTTTCTAATAGGTAGAAGCTTGAATAAGTGCTTGTAATAGTGAAAGGTTGAAAACAAGCTAAGTGCCCATCAGTAGGGACTGGCTAAATAAATTGTGGCAGGTGTATAGTAGAACAGGATGAAGTCGTAAAATCAGCCAGGAAGTTCTGTATGTATTTATATGGGATCTTCAAGATACTATAGGGGAAAAAGCATGTGTTATAGAATCTGTTTATCATGTTACATTTGTGTAAAAAACTGTGGGGGAGATGAACTGTTCAGGTGTAAAGTATCTCTGGAAAGATACACATGAAATTAAGACAATTGGTTACTGATGTGAAGGTGAACTAGACAGCTAGGGTCAAGGGTGGGAGAAGGACTTTTTACAGCATACTCCTTTGAATTTTGAACCATATAAATGTGGATTTATTACCTATTTTAAAGATACAAGAACAAATTGTAAATGATTAGTACAAGTATAACTGACTTGGGTATGCCTGTGCATTTTCATATATGTCTTTTCTGTACTTGCTCTATTCATTGAAATTAATCTTGGGACACCTCTTGTTTTGTCCTTCCAGGTCCTTGATGCTGGCCAAACTCAATAGAAAAGGGGATCTATTTTACCCTTGCTTGGTGGTGGAGAGGGTAGAGACCCAGGTCTATGTCTGACTTGTCTTGTAGAAGACTCAGGGTAGAAGTACTGAAGTCTAGGGTTGGGGTTTAGCAAACAAATCCCAAAGGGAGGGCAGTAGGCCTCTCAGTCAGCCCTACTGTGTGGTCTCCCAGAAATAAGGATGATTCCTTTAATACTGTCCTGTTTGCTCAGATTGAGGCCTGCCACAGAACAGAGGATGCCTGCCTTACTTCTTCCTCTTTGCCGGATGTAGAAAGGCAATAGATTGTAGAGAGTCAAAACTCCCTTATTTTTGGCAGGATGGCAGTGCCTTCTGAGTAAAGTGACTACCTCTCTAAAATCAAGAGTTTGATGTAGTTTATCTTTAATGTGCCTTTTACCTTTGCCACCTTAGACTGTGAAAGATCAGCCTTTAACCAGAACAAGAATTAATTCTTAGGCCCAAAGACATTTTACCCCTTCTGTATCCCTGGGGCTCAAATGTACCTGCCAGATGAGAGAGATGGAAGAAATGAGGGTTGAGTGAGAAATGAAAGAAAACGAGAGTAAAAGACCACCATTCTCACTCCTTCCCTCTTGCCATTGCTTCAGAACCTCTAATTTTTCTCTGGTGAGACTGAAAGAGACATTTTTTTTTTTTTTACTTCCCCCCAACCACTGGTATTATCAAAGCCAAGCCAGAGACATGGGAAGAAGCAGAAGTGAGCCCAGTCTCTGCAAAGCACTGTTTGGTCCATAAAACTTGGGAAATACCTACAGACTGCAACTTCAGGATAAATTTTCTGAAACCTTAGCCCATTTGGACCAAAGTTTACCCTTGACATTGACCTCTCTCTCTGCCCTGTCATTCTACAGCTTTCTGAATACTTTACAGATATACTCATGCATCAGCTAGCCATGAGTTTTCACTATTCATGGTTCTTCCCACACAAACATCTCCTTTCTCACCATACTGCATCCCTCCAACTCCCAAAGCAGAAAATTGCAAAATGTGGTTCCAAATAACCTTGCTGAATATCCTTCAAGAGGCTTGTTAAAAATAAAGATTCCTGAGTCAGACCTATTGGATTAAAATCTCTGGGAGTGGCCAAGGAATCTGCACTTTTAAACAAGCTTCTGTGGTGATTCCTACCCACTAAAGTGGTTTTAGGAGTCAATAATCCAAGGATATCCTTTAACCAGTTTCAGTCATGGTAAAGCATACCACTGTGTCCATTCTTTATTTCTGTCCAAGAAACACTCATTGAGTGCTTACTGTATGTCAAACACTAGCTTGACCCTTGAGTCTTTCATCTATAAAGCTCTATAAAGGCACATCACTCTAAAGTGTTTTCCTCAGAGAAGGTTGTGTTATTAATAAACTTCTAATTGGTTTAGAATTCTTGTCCTTAGGACTCCTTTTATTCCCACCTCTATCCTCAGATGTCTGAAAAGTGCTACAGAGACTTGCATCTTAATCTCATTTCCTTTTATCTGTCAGAAGAAAAAAAGACCCTCCACCCATATTTACCCCAACAGGCAAAAGACCTTCTATGTTTTGGGGTTGTGGAGCCAAGGGTTTGTGCTCATGACTCCAAGGGGTAGCCCAGTAGTCTTGTGGAAGGGAATTGCCAGGGGCTGGTTAGGAACAACTTTAAACACACATGAGACTAAGTTGCCACCTTCCATCACTTCTGTCTGTAGAAAAGAAGTTTGCTATTAGAATGAGAGAAATGTAGGCATGGAGAGGGGTATGTAATGAGTAAGGTGTGGCTGCTCTGATGAGCAGGATAGGAGAGATTTCAAAGCATTCCTACATCAAACACAACCTGGCAGTCAGGCTCCTCTTCTATCACCTCCCACAGAGAACTCACACCATTAGGACCCAGAAGAGAAGTAATCCTTGGGAAATCGTGGCTTGAACAAGTATTAAAATTAATAAGACATTTTCCTCATACACTGTGAATATCTAAGACAAACTTTAAAGTTACTCAAAATACCCTATATTCACATTCCTATATACATTTTCCCCAATACTATCTCCCAATCTCTTTTGAGAGAATTAAAGATTGTTTCTTCTGGAATATGGGCTGGAGACATAGCTCCATGGTAGAGCACTTGACCAGCATGTGTGAAACCCCAGGTTTAATTCCCAGAACACATACAAAAGAGATTCTTCTGGAGTAGATTTATAGTAGAGGTAAGACCTATATAAAAAAATGGATCTTTTGATTCTTTGGTTTGAGAGTATTTCCTCCCACCCCACTTCCTGCCTAACCTTAGTTGGCAAACATGTATTGAATCATGGTATGAGAGGACTAGCATCTGGACTTCTTGAGTAAGTCAAGAACCTATCCAGGAATGGAGATGGCAACTCTGAGCCCTGAGGTGTCAGATATGCCAGGGACTCAGAGATTAAAGAGAGTAGCAAGAATGATAATCAGAATGTAACTGTTTGTATGGGATTATCTGGGAACTGCTGACTGGGTCTGAACAAATATCAACTCTTACTTTAACCCCCACTCCTGACTCCCCACTCTCACCACAGCTGTGAAAACAAAAATTTTTTAAAAAAAACCTCTTTTAGTACACTTTCTACTTACTAAATCTCCAAAATTGTGCTTCCTTCAGGGAAATAGTGTGGCTAGTTCAAGGTTGAAAGCCATTTTTCAGCATAGGACTCCATTTTTCAATCAAACCCAAGAACTACAGCACTGCAGGAACCCAGATCCCTTAAGTTTTGTGTTCACCCTTGGGTGTCTGTCCATCCTGCACTTAACCTGGAGACCCTTTAACCTCACCAGCATCTACATTTTGGTGTGGCTTTGTTTATTCACAAGTCAGGAGCTGGCTCCCTGGATTGTCATGGCTTCAATTCTTCAAACTGCCTCAAAATGGAATTTTGGGCAAGGGTAAATAACTCTTTGATGACAAGTGGACCAGTAAAACAATAATAAAACCTCGGTCACCATAACTTAGAGGCTATAATAGATCAAGTACTCAAGAGTACTTGAATAAGCTAAGAGTAGGCTCTTTAGAGTTCTCATTCATACAAGGTTTTAAGAAACCATCCTCTTTCATTAGTAATGTGTGCAAGTAACCTTTATTTGTTTATTTAACGTAATTTCCCACAGCCCCAAAGAAGAACACATTTTAAAAAATGCTCAAGGAAGTTGGAAAGTTTGTCAATGTAAAGCTTCTCTTTGTAACTCTTCTACTCTTGGTTTCCTGTGCCAATTGCACTTTTATTTCCCGTCTCTCTACACTCAGTAAACAAAACCATATTATCAAGGGAAAGATGTGAGCCCATTAACATTGCAAGCCCTCAGATTTCACTCGCAAGAGACAACGCAGCACTTATCTGATGGAACAGAAGCTTTAATTGCTTCAAGATACAAGCCCATCCAAACCTCTGAGCTCTGACCTGTCCCTGGGAAACCTTTACGCCCTTGAGCCAAGAGCCTCATTGAAAGCCTGAGCAGCACGGTGCATGTGCCAGCCTCCCAAAGAGGTGCACAAGAAGCGGTCCCCCACAAGGGTGATTCTTTATTGTGACGACCTACAAGGCAGAAACTTTATTTTCTGTCCATACCCAAACCTGGCACTACTATATGTGCCCTTATCAGGCTGTCACAAGTTGAAAGGGATGGAGGAAGCTGAAGGGAATGCTGCAACGCAACGTGAAAAGAAATCTTAGTCAAAAAGTGAAGATTTCCTCTGCACCTACAGCTGGAAGTCCCATGAATCGCACCAAGGCGAAAAAGAGGGAAAACCAAACATCTGCTCCAGGTTTTGGAGAGGGATAACACCAGTGTCAAGAAAACCGAAAGAGTATGGGACGAGGAAAAGGGGTAGAAAGTAACTTTACCTTCCTTGGGGAAGGGCTGACGGCAGTCCCACAGGCCGAAAGTCACGCTCCCATTTAACCCCTTCCACCCAGCGGCACCTACAATCCACACCCGAGAGTAGAGCCTCCCACAATCCAGAAGAACAAGCTCTCAACCCGCTCCAACCCTGGCCCTCTCCAGAGCGGCCAGTCCTGCCTCCCTCCCCCTCCCTCGCCCAATACCTGTCTGGGAGCAGGCGCCCCGCCCTTCCACAAGCAGCCCCACGGCCTTGCCCGCTCTCCCTGGGGCTGGGGGCGATGGGCGGCGGCCCCTGGCTGGTTGGGCTAAGTTGGATGCAGGGCAGGCGCAGAGAGCCGCGCCTGTCGGAACCCGAGCGAGCGGAGAAGGCGCCCATTGGCCAGCCAGTGCCACGTGGCCGCCCCGGCTAGTATATTAGGCCACTATTTACCTCCGATTCGCTCGCCATGGCTCGGCGAGGGCAGCTCGGGTAGAAAGAAGAGGCGGAGAGGCGCAGACGGCGGCGGTTCTGCCCGGCTTCTGCTGGGTTCCTCACCCGGATCCTGGCCTGACTCCTCAGGACAGTGTGCTGGAACCATGAACTCCTACCTGGAGTACGTGTCGTGCGGCGGCGGCGGGGTCGGTAGCGACGTGCTCACTTTCGCACCCAAGTTCTGCCGCGCCGACGCCCGACCCGTGGCCCTGCAGCCCGCTTTCCCGTTGAGCAGCGGCGACGGCGCGTTTGTCAGCTGCTTGCCCCTGGCCGCTGCCCGACCCACGCCTTCGCCCCCAGCCGCCCCAGCTCAGCCTCCCGCGCCGTCCCCTACTGCGCCCAGGTACGCGCCGTGCACCTTGGAGGGTGCTTACGAGCCTGGCACTGCACCTGCCGCTGCGACGGCCGGGGGCGCGGACTACGGCTTTCTGGGGCCCGGGTCCGCCTATGACTTCCCAGGCGCTCTCGGGCGAACGGCCGACGATGGCGGGGCGCACGTCCACTACGCCACCTCGGCGGTGTTCTCCCGTGGAGGCTCCCTTCTCCTCAGCGGACAGGTGGATTACGCGCCCTTCAGCGAGCCTGGCTCCTTCCCCGCCTGTCTCAAAGAGCCAGCCGATGGCCACCCGAGGGCCTTCCACTCTGCGTCCCCAGCCCAGGGCGCCTATCCCAAGTCCGTCTCTCCCACCTCTGGCCTCCCGGCCGCCTTCAGCACGTTCGAGTGGATGAAAGTGAAGAGGAACGCCCCTAAGAAAAGTAAGTCGCTGGGCTCTGGATGGAGGCACTTGGGGCTGGGGTAAGAGCCTCCCCCGCGGAACTGCGTTGGGAGCGTTTTGCGGCGGTGCCTCCCATCGGAAATACGTTCTGATGCCTCTCTAAAACGGGCCAATTTCATTAAGCGTGCCCAGGCTCAGAAAATGTGCCGGGCTTTGAGAATATTAGAGGAAGGAGCTCTTTGTGGAGTATTTCTCCTGGCACAACTGTGTTCATGGAGACCAGGAGGAGTGCACTATGACTTTGCATTCTAACTCTAGCCCCACTGCTAGCCGGAGTCTTTGCATCCTCTGCCCTCCCCGCTAACGCCTTGTCTTTACGTTGCAGGCAAACTCGCTGAGTACGGAGCCGCTAGCCCCTCCAGCGCTGTCCGCACGAATTTCAGCACCAAACAACTGACAGAACTAGAGAAAGAGTTTCATTTCAATAAATACTTAACTCGAGCCCGACGCATCGAGATAGCCAACTGCTTGCAGCTCAATGACACTCAAGTCAAAATCTGGTTTCAGAACCGCAGGATGAAACAGAAGAAAAGGGAACGAGAAGGGCTTCTGGCCACAGCCACCTCTGTGGCCTCCCTCCAACTCCCCCTCTCAAGAACCGGAACAAGCCCCACAAAGTCTGGCAGGAGCCCGGGGAGCCCTTCTCAGGCCCAAGAGCCTTCATGAGGTCCAGTCTTGAGTCTGAGGAGTCTTGGCCAGCAGAAGTCATGGGGTGCCCCCACCTCTATATAGACTTAGAGCTCAGTTTGGGATGGAGGCAGGTATGGGCAAAAATTAATAGAGATTTCACTTGGGAAAGGAAATACCTTAGTTGGCTTCTGAATTCCAGGCGGTGTGTATACAGATATTTGATGTCTCTTAAGCAACTTGTTTGCATCTTATTTGTATCTTATCAGGGAAAAGATGCCCAGCTGCCAGCCCAGCTCCACTGCTATGTTGCCTAAATTAATCATATGCAAGGTTTGGGTGCAGGGTGGCAGGCCATTCAGTTGTTGAGTTCTGTCAACCCTTTGATGTACTCAGAAGTGCATCTTCCTAATGTTTTTCTAGTTTAATTTAAAGGACAGGCTACATATATTCAGCTTCTTGAATGACCAAAGCCAGTTAGGGTCTCCTTGTTGTAGCTCAGCTGCTTCAATGATGATCTTTACATTTGCACTCCAGTTTTTTTTTTCCTTTTAAAAAGCAGTTTCTACCTCTCCATGTGCCTGAGTGAAGATACAATCGCTATTTAGTTTGTAGTTAAACAAATCTACACAGTGGGTGAAGATTAGAACCTGAACTACACCTTGACATCATTTACTCAAACTTGAATGTAAATATATACAGTATGTATATTTTTTAAAAAGGTTTGCTTGTGATGAACTTCTATTTGACATTTAATGTCAGCATGTAAAGGGTTTGAACTTTGTTTTGTAATAAAAATTACAGAATCAAGTACTCTGCTTTTCTTTACACCCTTTTCATCCTGATTTTTTCTTTGAAGTCGATTCAATTTCTTCTATTTGTAATTCCTTGATTCTGCTATGGGAATGTTTATGTTGACAACTTTTTAAAATAACCATGCTTACACGTGGAGCACACACAGCAAATTATGGTGAATTATTAATTAAGGGAGAAAACTCTGCCAAATATCCAAGTAAATAAGGAAATACTTTTGCTTAAGTACCTTAGTTTTCATGGCAGGCATGTGGACTGCACACTAACTCAAAGGTTAGGTGCCCACTATGGGGATGTTGTGAAGCCAGGGAGATACTTCAGGGAGCTCTGTTCCTTTTTCTTCTTTCCTCACAGAGGAAGAAGAAAGGAGACCTGAAGACACTGTCTTGGTTAATGCTCTCTGAGAAAGACAGCTGCACATCAAAAAGTACTTAGTGGCTGAATTCCCATTTCCAAAGTCAAGAATTAGAAAGAAGGCTGGGAGAGGCCAGTAGTTAGCACATTCTACTACTTCCTGTAACCCAGGTTAAGAGAGAGCACAGGGGGTGCCTTTCCATTTTTTAAAAATGAAATATTTTCAATTTTTCGCAAGAGGTACAGAATCTGAAAGTTGACAGGAGGGTATACCAATAAGCAAACCAAAATCTCTCTAATCTTATTTTAAGTTGGCCCTACAGTTCTCATCCCTAAAGTCATTGATGACCAGACTTTTGTGTAACATCACAGAAATATGAAGAAGAAGGAGAAAAGAAAAAAAGAAGAAACAACACTGCCAAGACCCAAAAACAAGTGGATTCTTGAGACGATTGTTAGGTCATTTTCACCAGTTTGTATCTTTAAACTCTGAATAGTTAATTCAATTGAAAGGCTTAGAGGCCCAAACAAGGGAGATAAAAACCTCAGCTCTCCTTTTAGCTAGATTTCTAGATTCCAGAGCAGTGCCTCAAATCTAATACTTTAGATGTCTACAGAATAGTGGAGGATGACTTTTCCTATGAAACAGTAACATGATTAGTTGTCTTAGAAGTTTGAAATTATATTTAAATTCTTGTCATCTGCACCCACAATCTAATAGAGTTGAAATAAAATTATCAGCTCTAACAAACTCGGCTGTTTAAATGGAAAGACATCACTTAAAATGTAAGTCTGCCAATATTATTCTTCTGTTCCATTATCTGTCCCTCAGTAACTTCATGCTAATCAGATCTGGTTTAAAACAACAACTCCCCTCTGAGCCCTGCAACTATTTGAAAAGGCTTGTTTAAAGACCTGTGATCTGCTCCTTTCCAGCCACCTCCTGGGCTTCCCCTGCAGTGGTGTTTGACATGACAATGTTTCCTTTTTGATAAGCATTCAAATGTACACCTAAACAAAAAAAATACCAGCATGCTTGGTCATTTCCTTAATCTACCACCCTTTCTCTGAGAAAATAAAGCTTTTCCTTTTGAAGCCAGTACTAGCACTTACCAGCCCTGATGGATGTCTTCCTTGAGGAAGGTGGCTATTTAGATGTACGTATAATGCTGTTTTGTGAATCAGGCCAATATTAGCTATTTTTTGACCAACCCCAGGGATCCTTAAAAGCTTTCTTAATGCAGATCACTATGCAGCTATATTCAGTATTAAGAAGAGTCCTGGCTGGAGATTGGGAGGAACTAGGTGACCTCTGGAGGTCCCTTTTAGCAGTGAAAATGTTACACAAACAATTCAATGACTTCTACATATTTTATTTTAGGCCTATCATTGGAAGAGAGTTGGGTTGTAGGAAAGCAAACATAGTCTCTAGGATTACATTGATACTGCGTTTATGCAAGAAAAGTGGATTTTAGACATTATCAAATTCATCTTGTCACATGGATCCTTTACAGAACATTCCCCTTCCCATTATTCAGAACTTTGTGTTATTTTGCATAAGATCTCCATGCAGTGTGAGGTTATTATGCAAACTGTTAAGCTGCTAAAACAAACTCATTTCTATTTTACAAGATTTTAAACTAAATATGCTAATTCACTCTCCAGCGATCTGTTACAAGAATGAATACACAGTGGACAGTTTTGGCTGTTATGTAATTAACTATTCAATGTTCCTTTGTCTTCACATAATGACCATGTGTCTACTTTTCTGGATTCAGGATAATTGGGAGTGAGGAAAAAGAAAATGTTTAATAACAAAATTTCCATTACTTGAGTACAAGTGAAAGCTTTGCTGATGTAAAAACCTAAAGCAATATCACCTAGTTTTCCAAAAGATTAATTATGTGTGATTTATTCTGCCTCCAACTCAAATATGGCGAGAACCAGTACTAGACTAGGTTACATCTGACTATATCATCTGAAAAAAGAAGCAGGCTCAAGAGAGTTGCATTAGCTCTGAAGTTCTTAATTATTCTTATGGCCAAATAAATGCCCTGTATTTGCTGAATATTGAATTTGAAAACCTCAGGATCTAATCAGTTCAGAGAGATGTTGAGTCTGACCACAGACCTCTCAACAAGAAAAATGCCCATTGTTAAAACTTTATTTGTGGTTTTAAAGTAAAACCATGGTGGACATATCTCACAAATAATGATACATCTCCATCTAAGTAGAAATAAAGATTTTCATGGTTTTTACCTCTATCATGTTTCCAAGGCATGAAAATGCAACAAATATGCAAAATAGTCCAATTCAACATGCCATTTGTAATTTGTTTCTTAAGTTATACTTGTTATTCAAAAAATAATTTCAACAGAAACTCTAAATTAAATAACAAGCCAATAGAAAAGAAATCCTTTTTTAAAAATTTTTATTTTTTATTAGTTGCTCAAGATAATACAATGATCTTGACATATCATATATTTGATTCAAATGGGGTATGAATTCTCCTTTTTCCACGTGTGCAGATTGCGGGATCACACTGGTTATACAGCCACGTATATACATACAGCAATCCTAGTGTCTGTTGTATTCTGCTGTCCTCCCTATCCCTCCCCTCCCCTTTCCTCTCCTCCCATCACCTCTCTCTACCCAATCTACTGTGACACAGAAAAGAAATCCTTAATATTGATATAAAAGAAAGTTTTATTACTTAGCTTCAAAGAATTTAGCATTACCTCTTCTACATTTGATAATTTAATTGATATAATTTGGAAAGGAAGGTGTTATGATTTGGATCTGAAGTGTTCCCCAAAGGTCATGTGCCAAAGGGTTGGTCATCAGCCTAAGGCACTATTGGGAAGTGGTACAACCTTTAGGTGGGGCTTAGTTGGAAGAAATGAGTCATTGTGGGTGTGCCTTTGAAGAGTATATTGGGACACCTGCCCTTTTCTTTTTTTTT